AAAATTCTACTTTGCATAATATTTTTGAACTTTGTACTTTGAAAGTATGCCATTCTTGAGCTATGTGATGAAAATTCTACATACTGTCATGTTATGAAAAATGTGAAGTTGATCATTATTGTTACCAATTTAATTGTATTAAATTTTAAATAATATGTGCTTTTCATCATCAAATATGAAATGGTAATTACATGCAGAATCCAAATACAGCACTAGATTTTGCCAACACAAATACGTATTTCATGAAAACATGCAAGATAATTCACACTCAGTTACACTTATTTCAAGATGGCATATATGGAATAGATAAGATTAACTAAGTTATGTTATCATCACTATAAGTATATGCTTGATTTCTTGTAAAATCAGCCTCAACTCGCTGTCTTTTGCATAGGGTTGCTACTGCACCTGTCTGCTGAGATTACTATGGATGTAATAGAGTTGCCATAACATCTGTCAGTTGCATTATTTCAGATATAATGAAGCTACTACACTTTTATTAAGAAAAGCGAGAATCTTGTGTTGCTTGTTGGGTATTGTGATCTTTTTGCATTCTGAAATAATTTGTGATATTCTTCTAAATATGAATTTCAGAAAATTTGGAAATAACCCTTTAAAGGGCACCCTTATATAAAATATACCAGATGTTTGTCAGTTTTTTAACCTCCTAAAAAATGCTAATTTTCCTACACTAAAAGCTGTAATCGTAAGTTTCTAGTGTTTCCTTTTCATTCTAAATGGCAGCAGTACCCAATGAATGCTCAATATTTTGCAGTTATGAATTACCATTTCAAATCACTATACCTCGTTCCAAGGTATCATGTTTGAAGATTTATAAATTCTATTGGAGAAGGAGAAAAAATTCAAAATCTGCAAATATATGGTGTACACATGCTGAATTCATTTACTGCATTTCCCTCAGAACTGATAATTAAAAGAAGATTATTTATACGATTTTTAAGACTGGCATATAAAATATACCGTCACCCATACTGAGTGTACAGCACCAGGCTTCTCCTTCTGTGAGATGACAGAATTAGTGAATTGTGATGAATATTATATTCTCTGTAAGATGAATGTTGTATTTCTCTCTGTGAGATGAATATTATGTACTCTGTGAAATGAATATTATATTTGTTTATGATGTAATAAATTGCATTTACTGCATTTCCATCAGAACTGATAATTAAAAGATTATTTATACAATTTTTAAGACTTGTATATAAAATATACTGTCACCCATACTGAGTATACCGCACCAATAGATGGCAGCACCAGGCTTCTCCTTCTGTGAGATGACAGAATTAGTTAATTGTGATGAATATTCTCTGTGAGATGAATATTATGTGCTCTGTGAAATGAATATTATATTTGTTTATGATTAATTTTCAAGTTATTTAGGATTCAGTATTATTTTTATGGGGTATGGGGAGTTTACTGACCGTGTGCTAAGCATGAATAAAAAGTATTTTAGTTTCTTTTATTTAATTTTTTTATTTTATTTCTCCAGTTGGGTTTCTGATTTGTCTCTGTTTAGCTAATATTTTAATTTCACCACTTCACTCTTTCCTCGGATAAAGACTTAGCGATTTCAAAATTGTAGTCTAGCGTCAAAACATTAGACAATTGTAAGGGTTAAATGTGGCATGTTAGTTCTGAAAGACACCCGTCGCTTCGTTTTTTCCAAAATCCTAGAATGCAGCAAAAATGATAAGACGTGATTGACAGCTAATTTGTCATGCAGGGGTCACAGGATCTTTAAAGAGGCTGTGATAAGATCACACAAAAGGAAAGCTCACTTACAAACACGGGAAATAGAAATGTCCATCTTTTAGTGGAATGGAAAAACTGCTGATTTGAAAATATGTTTTAGGGTATTGTCTTTGTTAATTTTAGATGAGAAACTAGAGAACAAAAGAGAAATTTTTTCCCTAGGTTGAGGTACAAGTACATGGTTTTCAAAATATTCACAGTTAGTGAAAAGAGGGAAAGTATTTCTAAGGCCAGTTTTAGATGCAAAACATCTTTGGAAAGGAAAAAAAAGGGAGGGGCAAATGTTTGAGATTTTTCTTAGTTTTGATAAAGCATGCTCTTTTAATATATTATCTATCAACATCTTTTAATATATTATCTAATAACATCAAAAATGCAATATAATTTTTCAGCTGAGTCGTAGTGTTTCATTTTTCAATTTTTTAATTTTCGCCTGAGTTATATCTTCTTGTAACATTACAATAGTTCAATTACAGCATGATACGGTTTATGCATGCAGTGTTATATTTGCTAAATTTTTTCATAAAGTAGTAATATTGAATTTAAATCACTTTCAAAAGCTTTTTACTCGCATTTTACATCAGTATGTTCAGCTGGGTGGCATCATCAAAGTGCATAAAAACATAAATTTTTATTTTCAAAATTTTGAATGTCTAGCAAACTTTTAAAAGTTTTTGTCTTCAGACTTGCATAACTATAGATGCACATCAAAAATACATCAGTTGCTATCTCTATAGATGCACATCAAAAGTACAGAAAAACAGAGTAAAAAACAAAAATTAACAATTGGTAGCTATCTAAAAATAAAAAAGTTCTTAGAGGGGCACTGGTATAAAATATATATTGGCTCTCAAAATTCATAATGTTGTATTCTTAGGGTCCATAAGTTACAATTCATGCAAAATTTTACCACAATTTAAATTATGGCCCTCTAAGGGTTAAAACCACCATTATTAACAACAGCCCTATAATTTTATATTATAGGGCCCTATTTATTATATTTTTAATTATATTATGACCTCTTTTTTTTTTTTTTTTTTTTTTTTTTTTTCCGATTTTGAGTGGAAACCCTATAAACGGCATATCACTTTTCAACTCATTGCCACCAAATACTATTGCCCTGTATTATATTTGAAGAAATTAAATAATGAAGAATCTGCATAAATGTGTGTATGTTCCTTGCATTATGATACAAGAATTTTACCTAGAGCCATCCAATTTTGAATGATGTAATCCTACTGCAATTATGTGCATCTGAAAGCCCAACTTTGAAATTTGGAATTTGTTCTATTATTGATTTCATATGTTGTAAAACTTTAAGGACTTTTTGATTAACAAACTCCACGATTTAAAAGCGAGCAATGGCAACACTGTATGGGGGGGGGACCTCTTTATCTCCAGCGCGCGGAACTGTGTATTGGAAATTCTAAAGATATACTCATTTTAAAATTATTTTGTGACATTGCTGTTGAACTGAATTTTATGGTTTAAGTGCAAAGAACATAATATTTAATAAATAAAGGTAACATACAAACTGTTAATGCTCCTTTGGACGCAATTCAAAATCTGAAACCTTTCAGATTTTTTCTTTTTTTTTTTAACTTTTAATGCTTTTTAATGTATTTTTCTTTCAATATTTTATTTAACTTTGATCTTCCAAAAAGTCCTTGAAAGGACCGCAGTTCTTTTGGGCATCATAAAGTTATTTTGGGGCAGTTGTTGGTTTATATCGGATGTTTTTGTACGGCAGTCGGGAGACTTTCAGAAAGGTGTCCTGAATGTGGTTTGTTAATTAAATGACTATTTTAATCCCCGTGTAAAGTAAAATGAACTAATCATGCTACATAGTAACCAAAAAAATTTGCTGTTTGTTGATAACTTGATAGGCGACTATCAATGTGGATTTAGGAAAGGAAGATCTACAGTTGAGCACATTTTCAACTTAAAACAGATCCTTGAAAAAAAGTAGAGAATTTGGAATCGAGACTTGCAGTCTTTTTATCGATTTTAGGACAGCATATGATTGTATTAACAGAGAACTTCTCATAAAAGCTATGCATGAATTAAAAATTCCAGAAAATATTGTTGCACTTGTAGCCTTGACTCTTAAAGAAACCACAATTCATGTACATATACAGGGTGATTACACCGAACAGCTTGAGGTAAAAAATGGAGTGTAACAGAGGGATGCATTGGCATGTTTCCTGTTTAATATAGCACTCGAAAAAGTTATTAGAGACTCAAAGATCTATATTAGAGGAAATATTTTTACTCAGTTCAAATACTGGCTTATGCAGATGATATTCGCATTGTTGCACAAACCGCACTGGTTCTCAAACAGGCATTTATGGCATTGGAACAAAGTGCTAAAAGAATTAAATTTTTTGTAAACAAAAATGAAATTAAATATTTATCTTTCTTAAAAGTCTGACATACAATTTAGTCACTTTGAAATTGGCAATTATAAATTTGAAAAAGTTAACAGTTTTACTTATTTGGGAATGGAGATAAATAATAAAAATGTGCTGGCCCCAAAAATATATAAAAGAATCATTTCTGCAAATAGATGTTTCTATGCCCTGAAGAGCTATTTAAAATCCAGCTTTCTTCAGTTAAGAACTAAATTCCTTCTTTACAAAAGCCTTATAAAATCTGTCTTGACTTATACATCAGAGACTTGGGCATTGACTTTATGTGATGAGGAAGCTCTGGGAATTTTTGAGCGAACGATCTTATGTTGCATTCTTGGTGTGGTCCAAGTGAATGGAGCATGGAGAAGATCTAATTTAAAACTCTATAAAATTTACAAACCCCCTGATGTTATAAAATTTGTCAAATTACCAAAACTTAAATGGGTTGGCCATTTGGCTAGAATGAATGAAGATCGTTGCTGCAAGAAAATCATCTTTCTGGCAAAGCCTATGGGAAATAGACCTCAGGGCAGACCCCCATTAAGATGGATTGATAGTGTCGAACAAGATCTTAATATTTTAAAGGTGAAAAACTGGAAAACAGTTGCCAAAAGTCAAGATGCCTTGAGAAGGCCAGTGCTGTTGAGTCACTGAAGAAGAAGTAATCACAAAATACATTTGTATAATCATTCAGTATTTAACTTTGTATTATTCTTAGATAAGATTAGATTTGTTGTATTGTATGTATTAATAATTGTATACAAATCTAGTGTGTCTGTATTTTAAAATGTGTGAATAATATGATAATTACCCTAGGTTTCTTTTCCAAAAACTGTAAATGGGGATTCAGTTTTTAAACTTGAAAATGAAAATGAACAAGTAGAAAATGTTGAAAGTACACAGGCCCTTCAGAGTAAAAAAGAACCAAGAAACATTGAGAATGAAGAACTGTCAACTGCAGAAACAGTTAAAGAAATACTAAAATCAATGCCAGAAGACTTCTTCGATTTTTGGAATTTCTGTTCTACAGTAAATAAGTCTAAACCAGAAGGTAACTAATTTACATATTTTATCAGTAGATTTTTGATTGATCCACTTGATGAAAACTGTCTTGTAAGTTTAAAACATTTTGATTAATTATCTATCTGATATATCAGCAAGGTTTTGAAAAATTTTGTCTGTAAAATATTACTAGATCAGAATATGATAGCCTTACATCATATTGTAAGCACATGACTTATACAGCCTTTAAATTATACACATTTTTTGCTGCATTTCATTTAAACTTAATTCCTCGAATTTCATTTATATTTCTCATTCTATTAATTCAGTTTTCACTTCGTGACAAAGCAAAAATATTTAAAAACTCAAAACATCTTCATTCAAATTTGTAAAATACAGTGAAACAAAAACACCAAATACAGTTAAATTAGTTTTAAAAAAATTAAAATTAGAGTTTCTACACAGAAACAAGCAATGGCCAGCAGAAAAGGCAGATTTTTCGGTGCACAAAAACTAAAGTTTACTTTTGGACTCACATGGCAAAAAGACATTGAAGCTGCAGGAACTGACTTAATTCACTCTTCTGAGTTCCAGATGTAAGCAGATGGCTGTTCATTAGGCTTAACTCGCCACTTAAGCTGCGTTCACACTGGTCTGTTGCGGCAAAAAGTGGCAATACAGGAAAAAAAAAAAAAAAAAAGATTTCCGCATAACATTAGTTTACACCAGCATGGCAACTTTCACTTTAAAAGTTGTCATATGCTCGCACTAGATGGCGCATCATCAAACGTAAAATTTTTGTATGGTATTTTGGTTTTTTACGATTTCATTTTTTAATTAAACTGGATTTAATTTCTGCTGGATTAACATTTATTTTCTTCTTGCTTTTTGTAAGAGAAGCAGAATGCAGTGGTTTATATTAATGTGTGAGAGATGACTGCAGCAAGGAGATGCAAGTAATTTAATTGAAGAAATGCACTTGAATGAAACAAAATTTCTTTTAATTACTTTCTCATGACACCTCATTAATTTGATGAATTTTTAGGTTTCATTGAATGATTTATTCAAAAGCTGGACACTAATTTTTATGAGAATATCGCAGAAAAGAATTGTATGGAAGATAAGAATAGGATATCCCAGAAAAGTATCCTTGTATATATCAAACGCTGTATATATCTAATTTAATTTATTTATGAATTCTGTTGAATGATAATTAAAAAATCCTAATTGCATGATTCTATTTTGGAGAGTAAATTTTTCATGGGGTAGAATACCATAAATGTTTTTGCATGATGCGTCTTTAAATTCCCTTAAATGCTTCCTTAAATAAACTTCCCTTTATTGGTTTAAATAATCCAGTAAAAAAGTATATTTTTTTAAATATATGTAAGATTTACAGCATTACTAAATTAAATATCACACTTAAAAAAGCAGTTATTTTTAAGTTAATAAACAACAGCAATTGTTTTTTTAAATATTTTAGTTCCTGCCTTATGTATATATTTTTTTACCTTAAATGCAAAAGTAATTAATGCAATTAGTCATTTATATATTAATGAACAGCCACTATCTGAAGGTTTATTTTATAAAGTCACTTTTATCTAAAACTCATTGAAGTAACTGCATTTTATATAATACTTCTTTTTCTGCATTAAAAATTGAATTCCACAATTAGTAAATTTGCAAATGCTCATGCAAAAGTTCTTTAAATTAATGAAAAATTATCATCAAGATTAGACCTTTCAAAAAATGGTCATGTATGTTAAGAAAAACAAACATGAAACCATTAAAATACGTAGAAGTATTCCGTAAAATCAGCTACATACTAGAGAGCTTCTTTTCTGTATAAATAACAGTTTTCTTAATTTTTAAAACAAATGGTTTACTTGTCACCACTCGTTTAAAATTCAGAACTCACTAAAATTTTTAATTATATGAAATACCAACTTTATACTAATATCAGTATTGCTTTTGCTAGTCTCTCGTCAGCCGAAATAGAATCAAATCATAGCAGTGAGATCTTCTTATGAATTATACCAAAGGCTCTTTGTCAAAAGAAGGATAATGCAAACAATGCCGAGCGAAAATTAGGAATGAAATGAAATGAAAAGTAAATGCAAGCTTCTTGTGTTCCCCCCCCCAAAAAAAAAAGTTGTGGTAGATAAAAAAAAAAAAAAATTCGTGTATTCATACCATCATCAAAGGTAGTAAAGCAAGGCCCAAACCCGCAGTACAAGTCCCTAGTAAAAGCTGAATTTTCTACTTGAGCATTTACCTCAGCACTAAGGTATCCTTGTGGGTAAGCATGCTTTTCACACTTCACCTTCAGGAAACTGAAGAAGCATCTGTGCTTCTCTGAAGCTAGCAATAATATTTTCTGTAAATATTTTTTTTTTAATACCAACTCCATTCCAACACCACTCCTGGTGATGCTTTAATCCAAAATCTTTAACTCAAGAAGCCAATGTTTTATCCACTAGGCAACAAGAGCAACCTTAAATTAATGTAGATAGAAAAATTCAAAATCTTGGATTTCGAGATCCATCACTATTTTCTCACAACAATCAATTGCTTTAGATTATTCTGTAAAAATTATCAACCATATATCATTTATAATTGATTATTAAGATTTATTACTGCTAATAAACTTGAGAATTTTCCTTTAAATAATTTATAAAGCTATTTATTCTATTAGCATATCTATCTAATTTTTATTATTATAAAGAATATTTTTATTTATATTAGCCTTTTTTTATTCCATTTTTTTTATTATTATTTATTTTTATTTGAAATTTTAGTTTTTACCTTTTTTTTTTTTCCATCAAGAAGAAATTTTGAAAGTGCAATCATTTAAAAACCATGGTATAAACTGCACTTTTGAAATGAAATACCTGATACTGACATGTCAAGCATTAAAATGTTGAAGTTAAGTCAACTCACGCGGCCTCCGGCCATCCGGCAAATGCCGCCTCTGAACTCACTCCTGATTGGTTAACGGTTTATGCGTGAACGCTTGACCACGTTGGTGTGAACGCAGCTTTAAATTTTTAAATTTTTGATAACTCTACAACTATTGTATGCATAAAAACCACATAAGTCAATCACTTTTAAAGCAAAAAATGCACAGTTCACCAACATATAAGAATAAAAAACTTAGCTCACTGAGCCAGATAACAGAATGGAAATATATATACATATAATATTTATATACAATTGATGCATCCAATTGCAATAAAAAAGGGAAATACACAGTTACATCTGATATACAAAATTTCAACATTCTATGGCTACTCGTTCTTGAGTTATGCGAGAGGCATACATATGTCTCTAGGTTAAGAAAAAATCTCTTCTGAATCTTTTTTGGCAAAAACAGTCCTTTATTCTCTCCGTGCATACATATATCATGAAAAACATTGTTTAGTTATTTTGAGAGCGATTGAAATGTGATGCCCAAAATTATTTGTGATTACAATATTTCCTTTACTTCATACAAGGAAGTAAAAAAGGATATTCTCATTAATTTGTATCTGTTATACAGGCCTGACTCCAGTATTTTAATCTCTTTAATCAATCATTACCATTAGCACTCCCTAGAAATTTAATTCATGATCAATCTAGAGCAAAATATACTTGCATTTAGTTGCCACTTATGAAAAAACTTAATCGGCACCATCCAGAAATCGGCTTCCTAGGTGTCTGCCTATTTGCGTATACCTATACCTATGCCTTTAACTGTCCGTTATTTACATTTTGATTCAGTAAAATTACAACTTCAAAACTCTGCTAATTTTTCTAAACTACATGTGTACTAATACTTCAAAACTGAGTACATCTTTAAAAAGTAAATACTTAGTATTAATTCAGTGTTTGTAAGGTGTGATATATTATGACATTTTGAGATTTTCATAGCTTTTTCTTGCTTACTTCAGAACATCAGAAAATCAGATGTAGCCTTAATGTTTTAACTTAAACATTTCTGTATTCTTTACTACATATTGATGAACATGGCAAAGTAGGGCTAATGCTTTTATATCTCCATGTATTTTCTAAATTATATATAATCTCTGCTTTATTTAATCAATATAAATTCCTGTTTGGTAAGGATGTCAAGATGTAAATTTTTATGTAAAATTTATAGTACAATTTTCATTACTTATCAGTCATTTTTCATTTATAGATTTAAGTCATTAAAATTCTTAAGAGGTAATTCTTGATCATGCATTCTTGCTAATAAGTAGTAGAAATGGAAAATAAACATTGTCAGTATGAAATGAATTACAGTCAAAAGTCGTTAATTCGGACACCCATAATCCGGAATGATCTATAATCCGGACCTCAAAGCTAAAAACTTTCTGCGCATGCGCCGCGTTGGCACATGCGCGCAGGCGTTTTACGCGTGCGCGTAAGACCTTGACTACTGCGCATATGCGTGTGCGCAACTGCAGAATACATTTTTGCCTGCGCGTTTAATATATAACGGACGGTGTAAGCTAAATTATCTAATTATCTATTTCAGTTAATGTTAATGATTGCATTGTTCTTTAATCTTCGAATTGGATCCCGCTTATTATTTTTTGCAGACTGTAAGAGCAATTTTATAAAAGTAAACTTGAACTTTCGATTATGTCAAATAGAATTTCCGATGCTGGAACTTCCAAAGGATCTACAAAACGAAAGTATGTTTCGATGTCCAACAAACAAAACTTATCTTACAAACAGGCTTTTGTAAGATAATGTCAAAATATTTGCTGTGAGGTATTCCACATGCTGTGTACAGTCTTTAGTTTCAGTATCCCCCAGCACTTTGAGTATTAGTACCATCTACACTACTAATAAAGTTCTTTTGGTGGTTTATGGCCATATGGTATGATCACAAATGTGGTAGATCGCATACTACAACAATACCAGTATAATTACTACTACATTGTATAGTACATGTTTATTGGTAATTTTGGTAATTTAAAATTTGATTGTAACATATGTTTCCAAAAAGAAATGATTTAAGTTTTTCAAATTTGCACTATTTACTGTCAAAAATGATTAATTTGATATCTTTGCTTGAAAAGCAGATGATTATTCTAAATGCAGCATTAAGTAACTTGTATTTTTAAAATACTGGAAATGTTTTGCTAAGCATTAGTATAATATTTTGAAAGATATATCTTAATGGCATGGTTAGATATTAATTTAAAGTGTAATATGAGTACTTTTACACATGTTAATAATGTTCTAAAATGTATAAGTATGATATCTTGAAAGATATATCCTGATAGCAGAAGTATAATATGCTTCACCATGTCATTTTAAATGCACATAAGATCATTGCAGAATGATTCACATAATCTTTGAATATACTGTAAGCATTCTGATGCTGCTCAGACAATATAAGGTCTACCAGAAAGTTTTGGCTGATAATGTTACTTTAAATTTTAACACATCTGTGCGTGTTCATTTCAGACATATATGGCTGTCTTTGTTTATCTATGCATTTCTCACCATTTTCGGATTTGCCTCCAACATTCATGTCACCTGTTGCTTCTCCCATATCTCTGCCCACCATGTAACCACTATATATTTTATTTACTTCTGGAAAAACTTCTAAACCACTGCCTGGCAGATCTATTGCTCAATAAATGGCACCACATTAATAGCCTGTATATTGAGACTGTTTTGGAATCAGAATTTTCTGTTAGAGACAGAGTGTCTCTTCTCTTCTCAAGTGTGCATTCATGTTACTCATTGCGAGAACTTTACTCTGAGAATTCTCACCATAAGGCCTTTTGTGAATTTACTTGAGATTACTGGGAAGTACTACTTAGATAGTAGAATCTCAGTGTAACCACGTTCATATCAACTTATCGTTGCATTTATCAACATGATATAAATGACAGCTTTGCATTTATACACATATATAAATTAACTGAAAACAAAAGTGTCTCGTGTAATTATTGAGATGCAATCATGTAAACATGGCTGCCAATAAAATATTCAATAAAGATAATTTTCAACACTAAATTTTGTATGAATTCCAGCAACAATGAAATGGCACAAAAGCCTGTTGAAATTTAGTGAAAGTTTTTGGTGAAGGTGCAGTTTCAGATAGAATTTGCAAGTGGTGGTTTGAAAAATTTAGGGCATGTGATCTCAACCATAATAAAAAGCCATGCTCTGGACAGCCATCTTTGATTGATAACGATATTGTCAAGACCTTAATAAAGCAAGATTTGTTTTTGACACCAATGAAGATTGTGGAAAAGCTTAACAAACCATTTCGGTTCATATTTGGAAACTTGGATTGGTCTATAAATATTCCAGATGGATGTCTCGTGCGTTAGTAAAAAAAAAAATTTGCATAATCAAGTCATCATATACATATCTCTGCTTGCTCAGAACAGAAGTGAACCCTTCTTGTACCAGATGATAACTGATGATGAAAAATAGGTTATCTACGAAAACATCATTTGTAAAAGGTCATAATGTCAGCTCAGACAACCTGGCTTTCCTTACCTCTAAACCAAACTTGAGCGTGAATAAGATAATGCTGTATATGGAGTGGGATGTCCAAGGACCAATACATTACAAGCTTTTGAAACCTAACAAAAAGCTTAGTTTAGAGACACATTATCAGCAAATGGATGATTTAAACAAAGCAGCCGAAGAAAAAAGGCAGGTGATGTTTAAAAAAATGTACATCATACTGTTTCATGATAATGCCTCCACATGCTCATTTTGGCGACTTGTCAGATAATCACAGAGCTAAGCTGGGAAATTCTACCATATGCACCATATTCCCCAGACCTAGCACCTTCCACTCATCACTTATTTCTTATCTTGCAGAATTTTTTGAATGGGGAAAAAAAATCAAAACTGAAGCAGATGTCAGCCAAATACTGAAGTTTTTTGCCTCTAAGGACATTTTGCAAAAAAAAGGTATTTACAGATTACCATTATATTGCAAGAAGTCATAAGTAATGACATAAATTACATTGTACAATAAATATCATTAAAGGTATGAAAAATATATTATTTTAGTTTGCTTCCCAAACAGACAGAATTTTCCAGTAGATCTCATATATTGCTTCAAGTAACCTTATCAGTCGAATGATATAAAATTTTTATTTGAAAGATAATTTGGTACTTTGATATTATTGCAACCAGCTGGTAGAAGTCACCAAACTGTGGCAACCATGCACATAACAATTCTTCAGGTAACCATATCAGTAACTGTAAGTCTGAATAAGCAATATTGTTATTTTTGTACATACTGTTTTGATTATATTAGAAGCTCTAAACACAAATTGCGATATTTTTCATCTTCAGCTGAATTTTGTAATACAGTCAAAAGTCTTTAATCCGGACGTCCATAAACCAGAATGATCTAAAATCTGGACCTCAAAGCTACAAACTTACACATGCGCTTTTGAGTTTACGCATGCGCATAAGACCTTTACACATGTACGTTTAATGTATAACGGACAGTATAAGCTAAGCTAAAATTATCTAATTATCTATATCAGTTAATGTTGCAGATTGCGTTGTTCCTTAATCTTCGAATTGGATCCGGCTTATTATTTTTTGCAGACTGTTAGAGCAATTTTATAAAAGTAAGCTTGAACTTTCGATTATGTCAAAAAGAATTTCCACTTCTGGAGCTGCTGAGGGATCTACAAAATGAAAGCATGTTTCGATGTCCATCAAACAAAAAGTGGAATTGCTGCAAAAAATGGATAAAGGCATATCCTTTGTTTTTCTAACCATTCCAAAATCTGTTTATCAATTTCACGCTGCTCTACGGGGGGGGGGGGGACGTCGCAGCGCGCAATGAACTGGAATTTGATCTGTCAACACTATCCTTATCTTCAGGGCAGATGTTTTTATTTTATTCGGCTTATATTTCCTTACTAAATGTAGTATTTCATCTCAATATACTCCCTCTTTAATATGATTTAAATCAAATTCCTCGTCATTATAAATATCACGAATACACATCAAATAGTTTTCTGGTTGCAATTTTCTAATTTGGACTATGCGTAATGTATGCTTTATGCATGCGCGCATTGAAAAAAATTTTAATAAAGTAAACAAATAAATATTAAGCCTTTTTTTTTTGTAAATTTTGATACCCTTTAGATCATAATTGCTCTTTATTTCATAAATTATGGTTTTATATTTTTAATTTTATAATTTCTGCATGTCATCTTACCAGATTTAAATTTATGATCTATAATCCGAGAAAACCGATAATCCGGAATCGCCGAAGTCCCGACGAGTCTGGATTTAAGACTTTTGACTATATATGTTTGTAAGATTTGCCTACAAACAAAAAAAAGTTTCATGAAATTTTTGCACGAATATAACATTTTGCCACAAAAATGGGAATGGTTTGATTCATGTTTGGTGATGATGCATTTTGGAAAATGACCTTTTTGGAAATGCAACGCTCAAAAGTGTAACCAACATGTCAGCATTTGAAGCCATAATTAGTTCAAGAATAATCATCTGCTATTTATTACGGCTGTGAGATTTACATCCTGCTGGAATAAAGAATTACCAAGCGTTAAATTTTGCTTTGGAAGAGTTAGAAAGGACTAGTAAGTGTATGGTAGACTGGAATAATTACACGTAAGAGATGCCATTTGTAAGTAGTTTTATAAATTATTTTCCAGGATAAGTATTGAACTAAAATTAAAATATGTACCTAATAACATGTATGATATGAAATAATTTTCTTTGGTTTGAAATTGCCATTTTTTTTTTTTTTTTTTTTTTCCTTCTTCAAAAAATCATCAAATTGTGCCAAGGTGCTTATGATAATAATAAAGTTCCTGTAGATTTAAAAAGTTGAAGGGAAATACGTCAAAGAACTGGCAGTTTACCAGGTATGTAGATGATAAACATTCTGGTAGAAAAAATGTTAACTCTAAGAGGAATGATTGAAATTCCACCTGTAATTATATGTTACTAAACACAAAAATCGGTGCTTTCTGATTATCTGCTGTCCTGCAAAAAGTTGCAAACTCATTAGCAACTTTGTGAATTAGCAAAAAAAAAACATTTGTTTGGCTATTTTTATATTATCATAGTTACTATTCTGTTCATAACTAATAGTATAAAAGAAGTATATTATAAGAAACAGAGTGTTTGGGCTGAGGTCTGTGTGTTTGGGCAATATTTACATATTTATAGCGGGCATCTGCCATTCAGTTAAATATAAAACATAAAATCCTCATATACTCAAATATGTGTATGGTATGCATATATGTGGGTTGGTTGTAGTTGCACATTCAAATGAGGCAAATCATAACAGGAAACATGTTTTACATCGCACACATATATATAATGGTTACATCACACTTGTGTATAATGTTTTAATATAAAAGTGTAGGCTTTAAAGTTGTTAGCTATTGTAGTACTTTTTGATTATCTGCTCTTCCTTCTTGAAAAGTTGCCAACCATTTTCGACTAATTTTCTGCCAAGCTGAGATGCAAAAGACAGTAGCCTCTTTAAAAATAAAATGGCATGCTAAGAATTGCATAAAACAACAATAACCAATCAACAAAATTAAAAATATAAAAAAAATCTATTATAAAACTGTGTGTGTGACAACAAATATTCCGAACATGAGAAGAAAAGAGAGGGAAAAAAAGGCCAGAGAATTGCACAAATTTTAATCCATAAAGATCGTTTATGAAATGCAGTGAAACTTTTTGCATTCTCTGCTATTGGACAAAATGCTATACTTCTGAAAAAAATGCAATGCTTTCTTTTTCACTTGCAAACTCTACAGTTTCATTACGATTCCCTAGAAGAAGGGGGCAAAAAATGTGCTCCAATGCAATAAAATAAGCACTAATCAGAAAAAAATAGTTTCAAATTTGAAGGCAGAAATCGGTTCTCATCTGCTGCATGCATGTGTGTATTTGAATTGTCGCATAAATACATTTTGGTGACATCATGATTTGCTTATTTTGGTGCCTCTGTGCCTGTTTCAAGGGTGAAAATATTGATACTGTTCATCATGTGTGATGCTTCGTAAGCTTGAGAACTGGTTAAGATCATCCAAGGATTGCTTCAGCATTTGAAAATCATTATTACCATTACTGGTACAGAGAAACTATTTTGCAGTCACTGAAAGTTGGTTTTGTATCTCTTAGCAGACAGTGATACCTAAATTAAGCAAACCAAGGCTTTACTATCATGGCTTTTATGCAAAAAGAACAATGCACTATACAGTACAGAGTCTTTAATCTGGACTCGTCGGGACATCGGCGATTCCGAATTAGGGGTTTTTCCGGATTATAGATCATCAATTTAAATCTGGTAAGATGGCATGTTAAAATTATAAAATTAAAAATATGAAACCGTAATTTATGAAATAAAGAGCAATTATGAGCTAAAAGGTATCAAATTTAAAAAAAAAAAAAGCTTAATATTTATTTGTTTACTTTATTAAACATTTCTTTCAATGTAAGTTGTTTAAGTTGCTTCGTTTTATGTGATAATACTTTCTCTTTAATTCTATAAACATACATAATTTCTTGTTCAGTTACAAAGTTCTGCTGTTCAAGTCCTGTAATTGCTGTGCCGAGAATACCGACTAACTTGTCAATCGAAATTTTTTCGTTTTCACTAACCTCTTTGTCACTTTCTTCATGCCTTTATCTGTTTTTTGCAGCAATTCCACTTTTTGTTTGATGGACATCGAAACGTGCTTTCGCTTTGTAGATCCTTTGGCAGCTCCAGAATCAGAAACTCTTTTTGACATAATCGAAAGTTCAAACTTACTTTTTATAAAATTGCTCTAACAGTCTGCAAAAAATAATGAGCCGGATCCAATTTGAAGATTAAGGAACAACGCAATCTGCAACATTAACTGAAATAGATAATTAGATTATTTTAGCCTAGCTTATACCGTCCGTTATACATTAAACATGCATTTGTAAATATATTATGCACATGCGTAAACGCATATGCGCATGCATAAAGGTATTATGCACATGCGTAAATGCTACGCATGCACAGAAAGTTTGTAGGTTTGAAGTCCGGATTAAAGACATTGTACTGTATCTCATTTTTTACGTCATCCAGAAGATAGCATTTAAGATGATGATGTTATGTTTATAGCTTGAGACCTTTTCTACTAATAGTATTCAAATAAACAGGTCTGTTTTGTATCAAAGGCTTCTAAAGCATAGTTTTTATGTGAGCATCTTGCTTTCTGTGTCTTCCAGAAGAGTATATTAAAGTTGGTGCCATATTCATCATCAGTGAAGTAAGCTTGGTTATTGTTCAAAAATTAGTTTGCTTTCAGTTTAAATAATTATTCTGCGTATGTGTTCATATGAAGAGAAGCTGGAACTTAAAAACTTCCATCGCATATCTGTGGTAATGGTTTGCTTGTTTGGGGATAGAACATGAGAAACAGCTGCACCTGCACCTATATCTACAATGGAAATTTTGTAATTACACTGAAGCATATGGTCTGCTTTCATAATTGAAGGATATTCAGAAAACATACTCATAGATTAAAGCTTTCATCCTATGTCGGATGTTGTAACTATTTATGTTAATTATCTACAACTGATTCTAAAACTGGTCTTCTGTGCATATAGGTTAGTGCACAATATTTGCAAATTAGATGACTGAAAATGTATGGGTGATGGTGTTTAATGTTAATGTGATTTCTTAGAGTGATTAGTATTCATCAGTCATGATTTAAAGGCATTACTTAAGTAAAAGAGAAAAGTGGCAGTTTATTATTAAACTTGTAGTAGGGAGCAAACGAAGTACACCAAAGATTTGAATTTTCTTCAGAGTATCATATGAAGAACTTGACCTGCTTCTTAAATTGTGAATCAGTAAGTAGACAGCTTGGTCTACTTACTGATTCACAATTTAAGAAGCAGGTCACCAAGAGCAACAACTGCAT